GGAAGATTATCATCTGAAAAACCAGGCTAAGAGAACGTCGGTAGAATAAAAGCATCCATTCGATATACAGATTTTCACCGTTATTCCAACATTACGGCCTCCCTGAGACCTTTTTTAACCAGATGGTAATTCAACTATGGGTAGGAACGCCATTAAAAATTAATCTAGGCAACAAAACCCAAGAATTGCAATGGCCACCGCCGTAAGTCTGAGTGCAGAAGATGCAGGTCCAGCTATTATTGCTACCTTGGCCTACTGTTGAGCCTACAAATTCACAAATTGTCTCTTTCTCCGTGATTTACCTGATATTTATAATAATGTCATATTAATGTATATGATCTCTTGCTGATGCTTCTTAAATGTAACTTGTCGATACCACTGACTTAATGTAATTCAAAGCATTAATGTTGTCAATAAAAGCATAAAAGTAATGAACGGTAGAATTCAGGAGTTTGTATTAGGCAGAATTAAAAGTAGTTTAAAGCAATCAACGCTAACAAACAACAGCACTCATTTAAACAATAGAGTAATAGAAATTGTCAACCACTAAATAAATGTTGAATATGATGACGAATTTGTTTAAGAGAATATTCTTTGCTCGTTAATCAGTCTTTTATATTCAATCTATCGAAAGCATGCGGGATTAAAATGCACTCTCGATGTGAACTTTAATTAGTGAGTGAAATGGATAAAAAAGTTACATTCATGCAGTGTTCTGTATAATTGTAGCAGTACGGAATTCTATAAGATTTTGGTTTTCTGTGTCCTTTTTAATACACAAATATTGAGGATAAACAAGTATCTCCTGCATTATAAGAATGTGGATGTAATGAAGGTTTTATAGGAATGTCGTAGCGGTAAAGCGTTCCCCCAAAATCAGTAGGTCACAGCATTTTTCACTCAACATTGTATGCTGACCTTCACTATTTAAGTTCAAAATAATTAAGATGGTGATTGCAGACGCAACTATGTTAATACATCTGGATGTAAAGCTTCCCCTCAGTATTTCCGTCGAAACATTTAATACAGCTGCTGCAGCTGTCCCTCAGCAACTTAAGAACGACTCGTGGACACCTTTTGCCTTCTATTCCAGAAGGCTTCCTGCAGGTGAAATGCGATATAGCACGTTTGTTCGCGAATTACTTGCCCTCGACGCTTCCATCAAACACTTCTGCCACTTCGTCGAAGGCCAACAGTTTACTATCTTAACTGATCATAATCCCTTGACAGACGCCCTTCATATGAATACAGGCAGATACTCACCGCGTGAATTACGTCATTTAGACTACATTTCACAATCCATGTCGGACATCCACCATATCTCTGGTGCAAATAATCCAGTAGCGGACGCACTGTCTCGCTTTGCTCCACTGTGGTTCATCCCACCCCTGAAATGAGGAAAACAACGGAACCACCGAGTTCAGGTATAACAGAGGACAAACTTTAGCGATACACTTGTCTGAAGATAAAGCGTATACCGCTGGCTCATACCGAGGGCATTATACTGAGTGAAAAATACACAGGCACATAAGGACAAGTGGTTCCTTTATCTTTACTCTGAACTGTTTCCGAATGTCAACATAACCTCTCATATCGTGCTATACGTCTACAGACAAACTCATTTCAGCTCGTTTTGTCTGGCCCTCAATTAATGGTGATGAGGAAAGTTAGATGCGTTCGTGCATATAATGCCAGCGCTCGAAAGTGCACAGGTAAAACGTTAGTCCAACTGGGAAATTCGCCACACATGATGCACGTTTTAGCCACGTTCATATGAATATTGTTGGTCCATTACATCCTTCCACAAGGCAGGCATACATACTCACATGTATGGATAGATTCACACATTCGTCAGAATCCATACCTATGACAGGCTCAACCGCTGAAACCATTTGCCCGAGACTCCAGTGGAAAGATGGGTTGCACATTTTGAATGCAACAACTGGTCGATGGCTACAATTCCAGTCTGTAACGTTCAAGAAGCTTTTAGAGCTTTTGGAATGCAAGCGCATATGAAACACGGTATATCGTCTATCTACTAATAGCCTGGTTGAACGCCTTCATCGACAAATTAAAGCCTCTATAATAACTGTAGATTCTCTCCCCCTGGCCCTCTTCGGCCTCTGCTCCACACTCAAGGTGGATATACAGAGCACCTCAGCAGAACTGGTTTACGGAACCACATTCTATTTATCCGACGAACTAATTGCTTCATATGACAATGAATCCAATGCTTCTGATGTCCACAGTCATGCACAGAATCCCATACGCTTCATGCTCCGACTTCAGCCAATACCCAATCGTTCACATAGTAAGAAATAGATGCTTGACCTGAAACTGCAAGACTGCACACATGTCTTCGCGCGTTGTGATGCCGTGCGAAAACCCCTCCAAGGTCCCTGTGACGGAACATTCAAAGTGATTGGCAGGAAAGATAATTTTATTGCCATTTGCCGGGCAGGTCATCTAGATACCGTAGGTATTGACTGTCTTAAAGCAGCTTATTTAAATGACGAATCAATATCCTCTACATCATGGTGCGAAGGCCTATCACAGTCAAAACCCGAACTTGACGCAAGTACTTGTAAAACTCCCAAACATTCTGATGATTTGTCACGCAGTACTAACGCTAGTGCGCTATCTACACACTAGTCGACGTGTGCACTGGCCCAGGAGGTATCCGTTAACTAAATGATCTTACATTTGGCCTTATCTAATAGTTATTTCTTTTCTGAAGTTACAGTAACTATTTCTCGTGGTATTTGCTCTGTTTGGGTTAGTTTGTGGCAGTGGGTGTTTTTCCCTGTACTAATCCTCTCGATCTATCTCGTCACAGAATACTAACACCACTTTTAAACCCGCATGCAGTTCCTTAGCTTTCATATACCAAAATTGTTTTGGCATTTTACCTCTCACTGCCTGCTAAGACCGTTCGAGCCATTGACCTTAATGTCATCTCGTCGTTCTCACAATGTAACGGAAAGTTTTCTTTGCCTATATGCAAAAGAGAATGAGTAAAAATTGTTTTGTACAGCTTGCGAAAACCACAGATTAGTTCTGGGCAAATATCTGTAGCTTCTATTCTGTAATTTTTAATTTGTTGAAACCATCCTGACAGAATCTGCTAAGTCCAATCGCGTCTGCTACTTTTCACAATAAACCTGCTTGTAAACATTTTTCAACATGTTAGTTATTCCACTTGCAAAATGTTTTACTAATTGTAACCACCCATCACTTTTCAGTTCTTTAAACACCTTGCCCTGCAACTTTGAGCAATTGCCCTACTCTTACAAATTTCCGATGTTTTATTCCAACCTGGAGTATAACTTTCATGTTTTCGCCATGTTTCTGAGCCCTCACTCGGCCCATTCTTTTGTACCAATCTAATGTCCACATGGAAATCTTCACATTTTCTCCTGTTTTTTTTCTTCTTTTTCTTGTACCTTGTACTTTCCGCTACGCTGGTATATTTGCTATTTTTAGTGCCGATTGTACTTGCTGTGTAAATGGAGGAGTGAAGCATCGATTTGAGACTCAACTTAAAGCCATTGAATCACACTTCCTCTATTCTAGCCTGGGTGAAGTGTTGGTATCACCAGCCGCCCATGAACAATAAGTGGGTGGCGCCAAGCCCCATTCATGTGCAGAGTTAAAAAGATGAATAAGATCAATGGACAATTAAAAATAGTAAATGCATGAAAGATCAGACAACAACTTAAAACTCTGCAAAAATTGCCCTAAGACAGCCAGTGTTCTTTCTCCCTAAATTCCACCTTACCATGCACATAGTGCTCCTATTCACCTTAAGTTTTTTTCTTTCGCCCTTCATCTTTATTCCTTTTTAATTTTCCTTCTTCTCTGAGTGTTGTTGTGCCTCTAAACACGTTGTATGCTCTGATTAAAGGTTGCCAGTGTCCAGCCAACTTACGCTAGGGATAACCTGTAGTATATCTTTAATGTTTTGACGAATGCATGTACGATGGCGCTATTCCATCTTTTTCCCACTTGGGTGTGCTTCCACTCTGTGTTGATTATACGCGCATTTCTCGGAGTCCTTGACTCAGCCATACTAGCCAGTTAAATCTTAAAATCTTCACCTAAACATTTATATTCTGCTTAAATATGCTGCTCAGTAGAATATCTTGTTAAATAACTGAGTCTTTCGATTTTTGTCGGGTTATCAGTGCGTAAAATTCAGATAGCATAATGATTAAGTATTAGTTAGGCTCATTACATTTATTAAGGCTGGTATTGTGTGATATAGCAATCACTACAACTACCTACCTACACAACCACCATCACTGTGCGTTTCTGGGTCTGATATGATCTCGCATTTTGGGCGACCAATTCACTATATGACTTTACTTTGATTTAAGCAGAAGAAGTACTAAGAAAGTTTGCAGATACATACTGGTATTTGCAAATAGCATATCTCGTGTAACTGTCGACATCCATCATCTCAAATGCATACTAGGCTTGACATAGAACCTTACAATGTAACTTGTGTGGGGGGAATCAGAATAGTTTGGATTTTACCACTAATAAGTCAAATGACAGAGATGAATTCTGTCTTTTTCATATAATGGCTTTATTTATCTAACAACTGATTAACGTTGCTTATTTGAGATGTAATGATGAACACTGAGAAGCGACTGTTAAATTACCAATCACTTAAACTTTAATTCCGTTATCAGACAGCCAAATACAGTAAACTGCCATGGGAGATGACAGTAGAGATCTCAACAGTGAATGGTTTGAAAGTCAAACTGGATAGTCGTAGCGGTGTGTTCCTCCAGAAGGAATGGCTGTTACTTCTTCTCTGTAATTATCTCCTATTAATTAACCCTCGTATTCGCATACAGTAGCATTTAATTGGTCTAGGCAACAATATAGCGTTGACTTTTTGAACTATCTAATCACTTTCGACCTTGAGATACATTTGGGAGCGCTCTGTCTTAAATAAAATGTGTTTGGCGCGTTGCGGCTGACCTCTTGGAAGTATGAAAGTACTGATGGGCAGTAACGTAAGTAATTGCTAAGATAACAAACCTTAGAATTCACGTTTCGAAAATTTTGTCTAATTCGCGCTCTCTTTTTGCAGAGATATGGAAACAAGTCCAACGTTTGTGACATACGTAGCAACCCTGGTCCTGAAGGTATGTTTTATAAATGGTTTTCATTTCCGTTCTTTATATCAGTTGCCCTTAGCTTTTTTGCCTATTTTTATTGAAAATTTTCACTCCCATGCATAAATATCGTGATGGCCCCTTAAAAACCCAAGCTTACAATAATGCTGAATTAAATCTCAGTAATTCTGAAATAATTCTTGCATCCTATAGTGAGTAAATTCTGAATCTGTTCTGAAATGGTTTGTTTAATGGCACAGACTAGAACTCAGTGCTGGTTTTCAGCATGACTGGCACTAATTCAGCACCGTGTTCTTTTTCTAGGCATTTTCAGGAGTAGATCAGAACATACTGGGTTTCCTTATCAGCGTTGTTCCAGCCGTTACAGGACATATTAAGCACTGACTAGCATTACTTCGGAACGAAAAGACCTAATTCAGCACATAGTGGCAATTTTTAAGCACGACCAGCGTTATTTAAGAACATAGTGGGTAGAAAAAATTTTCATTTACCATAAAAAGGCATTATCAACGCATAGGTTAGAATAAGTTTAGAATTGTTGTAAGCTTGGGAAACGTAGATGCATACCTCTTGTTACTGTTTTAACATGTTTATGGCATTAGAGACAATGTTGATATTTTGGTTTTAAATTTGTCTGTTTGTTAGTTGAAGTGTGCTTATTCAATTGTTAAGTGTACTACTCATCAAAATTAATCAACTTCAAGGAATACTCAAGTCGGTGGCCCTAAAATATGTCAACACATTTTGCAAATTTATCTTTATGTTATGCAAAGACAGTTCTCGCTTCGCTCTTTAAAGTATAAGTACTTCATAGCGTCGTAGCGAGACAGTATGGCAACGTCAGTTCTATCAATATGAAGCCCCATAAATTGTAGGTTACACTGATTTTACTTGTTATAGTCATGACCATAAGCCTGCCATCGTCTCTATCAGCAATGAACAATTCAAGATACTAAACAAATACATATTAGTGTCACTTGAAGCTAAATTTTACTCTATCAATCAACAGGTAATGTATTGCCACAAAGAGTATCAAAAAAATAAATTATACTAATCAAAGTACTACTTGAAGTCACATGTGTTGCTATTTGTATATATTTGTCTGAAGTGACAACCTACAGTGTTCGTCTGAATGCTCAATGTAACAGTTTTTGTTTAATTCCGCCATAGAAGTGTAGATGAAGTTGATTCTGGTCGAATTCGATATATTGGGAAGACTTTTTACCATGTAAATGTCTCCTCGATTCACAACACTTAGATGTCAGCGTCGTTTAATCTGAAGACAGAAGCAAAATGCAGACTTCTAAGCATCTTCAGCAAAAGGCTGAGAATGTTTAGCGTGCGGTTCGCCCTGTTAAATATGGAAATATGTTGCAGGACTAATCGTTGCCTTAAGAGAAAGCGTGACATCCGGCTATCGATTGAAAGACATTTTCTGAGCAGCAGTATGATCCATCCTTCTGAACGTGGGTGAGCTATAATTAGAGTAGGAGCTAATAATCATCAATGTGTGCGTTATTTCGTAGTTAAGGTATTATAATATGGTGAGTAACATTAATGCTGGGCGTACTGTGTTTAAGGGAAAGTCGGTCAGGAAAGTTGTGAAGCTGCAAATGCATCGCCTTCGTCACCCATCAATATCAATTGATACAAGAGTAGGTGGATGAGGTCCGTGGAAGGTCAGATGAAGGCCTGGCATCAATCCTTAAAGTTCTTGAATGTTTGTTTGATCCAAGTAGGGGACTGTAAACTGCTTGGGGTCCCCAAGACACTAAGAACCAATGTCTTTATTGTCTGTGGTATGACTCATAATTGTTTTCAGAGGCGTAGATGCATTCATCCTGTGATCTTCCATATCCGCTAAATCCTCATGACTCCCCACTTAGTTTTCCTGGCGCCTACATCTGTTCATTATAGCTCATTTTTCGTTCGGGTGCTACATGGAGTGTTTTTGCTTGAAATGGTTCACTTCTGTTCTATGTCGAAAACTCAGCAATGAAGAAACTGCTTCCCGTAACTTTGACTCTAAGTGGACTGAAACCGAACAAATTATTCACTTGTATTATTAGTTTTATCGGTTTGTCTATTAAAAGATGCTAACTTTCACTTGATTATACTTTGGATGTATACAAAGGTAAGACAGGAATAAAGTTGTGATCAGTAACATAAACTATTATTGGTTAACCAACTTGACTATTTCTCATTTGACCATGAGTTCCAGCCCAACCTGTTTCTCAACCACATAATACTACTAACTCTCCCACCGTAGGAGTGAATGAGTTTAGAACACAAACTTTTAGGTAATCACTGAATTTCACTACTCGTTATTTTTCGAAACAATTTAGTTAAAAAGAAATGGGATTCATTTCATAGTTCGGTTTACTATTAGGTCGCACAGTTAACTGTTACTCGAATTTCTTCCTACATTACTATCATTTCAGCACTTGTTTCTTTTTTGTTTGTAATTGCTTCAAGTGAGAACGTTTGCTTTCTCTTGACAGATGATCAGTTGAGCTTATGCTGCTTGTGTGGCCAAACATTCCCAAGTATTAAATCTCTCCACACGCATATCAATGTTGTACACGAAGGTAGGTTTACGGGTGTTGAATTACTTTTGAAGGGTTGTAGCGTAATATGACAAATATTATTACAAATAAATAAATAAAGATGTAGAAAACCTTAAAGTAGCTAAACTACTACTTGGGGTGACTGAAAATCCTGTTAGAACTGTCTATCACATGACTGATTATGGCTAATGGTAACACAAATATAGCGATTCTAATCAAGTTAGCCAGTTGTCTGAAGAGTGGCTTTCTTGTCGAAATAGTCATCTGATTGTCATTTTGTCACGACTAAGTTATTTCATTTTCTATGGTTTGGTTTAGGCATATAGTTTTTGATTATTAAATTGCGGGTAGATAGATACTATTGGCTGGCTCATTCTATTTTCACAAACATTAAGGTAAACTGATGCATGTCTGTACGAAGTTTTGCGATTTTTCAGGGCATAAGGGCACAAACACATGAATGCTGATTGGCATCTTTACTATCTTCACTCTTGCTTGGCAGTCAATTGAAACAAGTATTCTCATTGAGCGTTTCGCAGGAATCTTTTCCTGACTATTTTCTCTGGGAATTGTTTTCAACCTGGTGGTCATTGGTAACCTATGGTAGTCAACTTTAGTGAATCTTTAGTTGATGAAGTCCCAGTACAGACGAAGAATCCGTCTAAGCATTCTACAGAATTGTACCGTCTATATCAGCTTAAGGAATATTAGGATCTTTGTTTAGAGATGGGCATATTACTTGAAACTTTAAGTTAATCCACAAACTGTGAGATGAAAAAGTGTAAGTTAGTAAGATGGGTATTTATGTATTAAGTGCCTCTGTAGCTTATGATTTTACTCAGCTAGGTTGTCGTACTATTAATACAGACTTAATGCTTTGGTTGTTTCATTAAATATATGTGCCATCAGTCTTATAAATGTCATGACAGCACAAATCGATATACGTGGAATAATTCACCTCACCAAGTTACTAACGCTTTCTATCATTTCCTTTCAGAAGTTGCTGATTCTTTCGATTTTCACCCAACAGATGGCGAAAATGACGACCCTGCTCCAGTAAGCTAAAAAAATCTTAAAACACCTATAGTATTTCTCATGTAACATTGTCGACACAGCATGACTACTTAGAGATCCGGTTTGCCACTTTGCATAGTTACACCTGTAGTAGGTGAAAGAAAGACAAAAAGGAAAATCATCGCAAATTACATCGTTAGAAGTAGTAAAATACCATACAGCATAAGAAACATGATGACAAGTAAGACTTAATTGTCAAAAGAATGGTTAAGCATGAATCTATCTAAGAAATTATAGTGCTCGACCATGCAGCCCAGAGTGTCTAACTTTGTATTCCGGTGGTTACAGCTGGGCAATCTACTATCGTTACGCTGCTCCAAAAAGTACTCAAGAATTCAATGCATTCGTGTAGCTCTTAGTCTGTTCATTCTCCGCTTTCTTCCAAAATTCATCTTACTTCCGCTAACATAGCGCATCAAGGTAGATTGTAGATAGATGTGTCTGACAACTAAATGAGGCGTCAAAGGTGATAAGTTTCATCGAACTGAATTACTCACCTAACCTAAAACTGTATCACTAACTTATGCACTGGTCAGATAATGGTTCCACCTAAAGTAAATGATAACACATACTTTTCGTGTGTGTTGTTTTGCATGCTTCACCGAAATACTTCGGCCGTGCAGTGTATTGATTACTGTGTTTACAAAACGTTTGCCTTATGTTAACTTGGGGCCTATAACAGTGTGATAATTACACGGTGGTTATAATGAAAACTCAAGACTTCACATACAATCTACTATTACCTATGTTTTGCATAATTTTCACTGAGTAGATTCAGGATGGATGGTTTGACATACAATCCTCTTAGTGAGTACATGCGCACAAAATGCTTCCATCCCCTCCAAAATGATCGAAGTGAGAATTAATTATCCGTGTTCTTATAATAACTGGCTCTAAGACTCACAAACTTAATAATGAGTCAGTATTATGTGCTGACAGTACTCTTAGTGTAAAAGTTTCATATTAAAGTACACGAAGATTCAACATCAATGAAATCAAGTTTCTCAGTGGATTGACAAAGGTTTCAAACTGTACATTGCATCAGATAAATGTCCCCCATAAACAACCTGGTACTGTCGAGGTTTTGCGTACACTTTGGTTTTCCTCACCAAATGCTCTCATATCGCTACGTGTTCATAGTATCTGCTAAGTAAGTCCTGTTCACCGCCTTTACACGGTAGGGGTATTCCTCACAATTTGTGAAACGTTGAATTTGAACGTCTGGTGTTCAAAAACCGAACTGGTGAACATGAAGGGTCTACTTAAGGGAGCCGGAAAACCCTGATTCCAAACCTACCGTGTACATGGGCTCCAGAATCCGAAAGAATTGAATGGTTCATTAACCTGTTTCGGTCCCCGTCAACCATAGGAACGTAGCTCCTAACACTGATCCACTGTCTTGTGGACCGAACTTTATGCTAAAGACTCGGAGAGTGGTCTCTAAGGACAACCGCTTGCTTTTGTCTGGGCCTCCAGACAGTATCCCATACGTCGCACAAACTATGAAATTTGTGTGGTACCTCTCTTCGTGCCCATAATGTACCGAATTTGTGTTTTAATAAATGACAAAGTTTAAATAGGAAGAAGTAACGTTATAAGTGATTGTTCGGTTCTTCTACCGACAGAAGCTTTTTTACATATACCAGTCAATACTGGATTTTATGTTGTTTAATTAGAACTCTCCTGTGTCTATTCAATAGTCCATATTTTAAACTGACAGTAGACATCTGCAACTCAATTCGAAGATGTTCTTGTAATTTTCCTACTATTTAAGGTCTTTAATTATTGTCGGCTGACGTTTGAAACAAGTCCAAATACCATTTTCATTTCCCCTGTACACGGAAATAAAGTTTTGGCGTTTTTCGTGAGTATTTCTAGGCATTCTTTGATGAATTCGATAGCATATTGATTTCCGATTATTTCTAATTCTCTTGATTGAACTACTTTTTAGGTTAGATTTCTTTGCCTTCATATAATTGCATTGATTTTTGTGTCTTTCATTGCGGATTGTTGGAGTATCATTGTCGGATTGTATGTAAAAGATAGTTTTGATCGATTATCCGACTTTTATACCAGGCGAATCTTGTTTTTTCTGTTTGATAACTGTTCGCTTGCTCTCATTTCAAAATTAAAGCCTGAAATTGATTTGGTCCCTAGATGTATTATCATGTGATTAGCCTTTATCTATTTCCCTTGCACTCTTGGTCAACCATTGCAGTGCATATTTAATAATAAGCAAACACATAAGATCGATTGGTATAGTTTAAAATAAGCTACTATGTAGCTATTGATTTCTGTAGTGTCTTATCGATACAAAAATCCTTCAGTGTAACGTCTTTCAAGTTTTACTCCGATCAGCATTACTGCATACCGATTTAATTGATGATGGAGGAATTGCTTTCTGTTTTGGAAATTTCAGTTGATACCATCTCACAATCTTTCGAATGTGTTTACTTCAATGAATACAATCCTATGTATTTCGTTCAGAGTTATGCTGCCGAAATCTATTTTTTTATTCTTTATGCTTAATCTGTTCAAAGTTACTTGTTATTATTCTCTTGGGTTCCAAATGGAACATAGGGCCTCAACAACACATCTCCACTTTGTTCTCTTTGGTGCTATCCTTTTCAGCTGGGTCCACGATTGCCCATAATCTCTAATCTCCTCCATGTCACCCTCATACCGACGACCCACTCTTCGCTTCCCATTGGGATTCTACTCGAGCGATGGTCTGCACTGCGCGCGTAGTCATTCGATGGCCTCCTTAACGTATGCCCGATCCATCTCCATTTTCTCCTAAATATTTGTTGAGCAATCGGCTCTTAAATGGTCTGTTGCCAGAGTTTCTTGTTGCTGATTCTCTCTGGCCATCTAATCTTCAATATGGAGCAAAGGAAGCTGTTGATAAGGCGTCGCCGGCTTAGTGGTAGAACAATAGCCAACCGCGCAAGTGGTCCAGGGTTCGATCCTCGGCCGATGCATACCTTTAAACCTCGCCTGGTTTGCTAGGTCGTTAGTTTTCTAGCCGGTCCCAAGCCCGAGTAAAGAGGAAGGATTGGGCGTGGAGTTAGCTACCCTACCCCACAAAACCAATCAGACTGCTAGCGAAACCTCAATGCACAAGAAAAATATTAAAAGTCTGTTCAAAAGGGCAACGGTAATTCCCTAACATGTATTTTCATTTTATTCTGTTCCTTCCCTCCCTCCTTTCATTTCTTGCAATGCTAAAGAAATATTAAATCGGTTATACCTTAAGGAAACTTACTGGCCAGTAGAGGTATACTGGATTGCTAAATAGAAATAATAAAACAATTAGATTACCCGATACCCGTGCACCTGAATGTAAATCAGAGTTCATGTGATGACTGATGTTACCGCCTGGTTTCGCAGACTGAGATGGTCTATCTGTTACCTAAGATTTAATCTGTTACTACATCAGACTGGATTATTACCGTATGATAAGGTGTATCTTAAAGTCTTAGGATTTTGAATTCTGTTTTATCAATCGTTGTAGCTTTTTTATTATATCATTTATCTGATCTTCCTGTGCTAAGTGATGACAATATGTTGTGCTGTGATAAATGACTTTTGCCTTCACTTGCCTATTCTTTTTCTTTTTGTAGATTGACTTGAGATGTCATATTTCTCCTCCTTCGCACAGTGAAGAATTTACATCTCGTAAGTTATGTTTCTTATAACCTTTATTCTAAACAAAATAACCTTACGTAATTTCGTGGTATGTACTACCGATCGATATGAGTAGCTGGAAACCACACTACTCATGTCATATATTGCTTACTAGCCAAGTTGAAATGATCTGAGCACTGGATAGCTGATTAGTACGTTTTCAGCCTAGCTCTGTAGCCGTCTAGAATTAGTTCAGTCAGATAGTAGATGTAAGTAGTAATTGTAGTAGATTTTCACCTTAAATTATTTAACTGTCAAATGACTAATTTAATCCATATGAACTCTAATCAAGCTTTGGGAAGATTACATTTATATAAATCTCAGTGAAACTGGATGAGTCATTCCATCGTTTCGTTCGACAAGCTAGTGCAAACTGATTCAAGAAAAATTTAAAAAAAAAATAATAATAAAGGTATACAGAAAAGGATACAATTTGTATGTTTAAAATTCTTGTCTATTCATGTCTGAGTCATCAATGAATAGTCATCAAAAACAAATTTTCGTGAACTGTAATCAGTCTCATCTTGCTAAAAAGGTGAATAAGGTTGAATGATAGATTAATTTTTACTCTTTTTTTTATTGATAACGCATATGTATATCGATTTTTCGATTACAAGGTGTTATTTGTTTCTTAAACTGACAATAAAATCATACATTACAGTTAAAATTCACTTGAACTCTACTCACATAATTGTTTTTGTTACTCATAATTTGTTCATTACTTCTGTTTTATAGTATTGTTTAAATTTTTTAGTATATTACTAGTTTCTGGGAAAATTGCACAACATTCAGTTTTGTAAAAACGTTATTCTTAGTTAATAAAAATACATTTTGCTTTTATTCATGTTAATAGAATGTAGTAATCCTCATATCTGCTTGTCAACACCTAAACTACTGAATGGTTTAAAGAAGTAACTTTCATCGATTATTTTAAATCTCGCTTGACCAGTAGTTCTTAGAGCTAAGCAGTGGTCATATTCGGTGAATCACTCTCTGACCACGCACGTGGTCTGTGGTTCGATTCCCAGCTGGCGTATTTCTAAGCCTCGTTTAGCTGGTAGTAAGCCTGATGAAAATGGGAAGGCTAGCGATGCCCCAACCCAACTGTAGCTTAAAGCCCTATGCTCCACTGGGAGCTCAAAGGAATAAGAAAAATAGTCGGTGACTGTTTATTCAATTGTAGTTGTTAGTGTTATTTTCTCATGTCCACTTCCTTTTTTGTGTAATTATTACTAATAGTAGTGTATATCCGCTTTAAACTAAATTGCGCATAAGTTAATCCCTTCAGGTAGGTATTATTCCTATCTAAGTAATATTCTTTGACAGCAGAGATGTGACTTGATTTCCAGTCAAAGGGTTTGGGATTTAAAAACCACTTCATGTACTTTGGCCTTAGCAACTAAGTAGTATCATCAGCCCCCACACAGTATGTGTGATACATAGTCTGATACATTAAAAATTCGTACCGGGTAACTGCATTCTAACCACCACTTCTTGGCAGCTTAGAATTTAAAACTGCAGTTTAATGACAATTTGTCTTGTCTACTCCTTGTGTCGGTGGCATAGTGGTTAGGATGCTCGCCGACCATGCACATGGTCCGGTGCTCGATCCCCGGCCGACGCACTCCTTTACCTCGCTAGGCCAGAAATAATGCTGGTAAAGAGGAAAGGTTGGGCATGAGGCTAGCAACCCCATCCTGTAAAATAAACACTGCTACAGAAACTTCAAGCCACTGGCTTGAAGCCCTATGTTTCACTGGGGAACGTGAAGGAAAAAAAACTCCTTGTGTTAAATGATCCCGCCTGTTATCATTATTTTTTTTCCTTTAATTCCTAGAGGAACAAAGGGCTTCAGCCACACGTCTCCATTGCGTTCGGTTCTCTGCTAGAGTCTTCACCTGGCTCCATGTCTGCCCACACGCCTTCATCTCCTCTCCACATGACCTCCTCCAAATCACCCTTGCACTGACGATCAACTCGCCGCTTCCCTTTCGGGTTCCACTCGAGCAATGGCTTGTCTAGTGATGTCACTAAATGGTTTCCTCAGAGTATGGCCAGCCAATCCACCAACATTTCTTCCTGCATAGTTGTTGCACAATCGGTTCCTGGTTGGTTTGTTCCCAGAGATCCCTGTTACTTTGTTGCTGTTTTCTGGCCATCAAATCCTGAGTATTGAGCGAAGACAACTGTTAATGAAGGTCTGTAGTTTGTTTGGGGTGCTCTTTATGACGCGCCAAGCCTCTGATCCGTATAGTGAGTAGCACTGACTTCACATTGGAGTTGAAAATTCGGATCTTATTTTCCATGCTCAGTGCTGTTGACCTCCACACAGACTTGAGAGAAATGAAAGCTTGTCTTGCTTTCCCGATCGTCGCTGCTTTGATATCCTCGTCAGTTCCGTCGGCCTGTAGTTAAAACGATGCTTCCCAGCTAGGTAGGTAGGTGAAGGAGGTTATTTCTTTCAGGTTCCTCCCATTTATGCTGGCTGATTGTTGTCTGTTGTTGCTGTTGGTGGTATTGTCCAGGAATCTTCATCACTTCTGTTTTCTCTATGTTCACCTGAAGTCCTGTCTTTGATGCTTCTTCTGCCAACTTGTTGCTTTTCGCTTGCATATTTTCCAGTTTGTGTGAAATCAGACATATATCATCGGCGAAGTCCAGATTCTCCAAGTTTTTTGTGTGAGTCACTTTTACGCCTGTTTCCTCGTTGCCCGCTATTTGTCACATTATCCAGTCTACTGCAATCAGGAAAATCATTGGCGATAGTAGGTAGCCAGCTTGTCTTACTCCTGTCCTTAATTCGAAGGATTCCGTAAGTTTCCTGTTGTGGATTACTTGGCATGCAGCATTGTCGTACAGCTGTTGGATGAGATGTATAATTGTCGGTGGCACCCCGTAGTAGCGAAGTAGTTGCCAAATCACCTCTCGATCGACGCTGTCGAATGCCTTTTCAAAGTCAATGAAGTTGAGATAGAGAGGTGACTGCCATTCCAAGCTTTGTTCAATGATGATCCGTAATGTGGCGACCTGATCAATGCACGACTTGTTTCTCGTGAATCCAGCCTGTTCCAGTCGAAGTTTTTCATCTAGGGCATGTTTGATTCTCTCCAGGATGATGCGGCTTAGTATTTTGCTTGGGATGGACAGGAGCATAATTCCGCTCCAGTTCTTGCATTGACTTAAGTCTCCTTTCTTTTGTAGTTTGAATAAGTATCCTTTCTTCCAATCCTTGGGTACTTCGCCTTCTTTCCACACCTTCTCCAGTAGTGGCATCATCAAGTCCGCTGTTGTCTCTGGGTCCACTTTCAATGCTTCTGCTGGGATTCCATCTGGTCCTGCTGCTTTTCCAGCTTTTAGCATCTTGATTGCCTTCAGGACTTCTGTTCTCGTTGGGGGGTTGATGTTCACTGGTAGTTCTGCTTCCGTTGTTGGTATTGTTGGGCGCGTTGTAGGTGGCGGTCAATTTAGGAGTCTTTTGAAGTGTTCAGCCCAGTGTTTCCTTTGCTCCACCTCTTTGGTGATTGACTTTCCATTGTCATCCTTCACTGGCTTCATTTGCGTCGAACTTTTCCCCGACAGGAATCTAGTTGTTTGGTAGAGTGTTGCGAGGTCTCCTTTGCCTGCAGCTTGTTCTGTTCCACTTGCCATGACTTCATAATATTTTCTTTTGTCTTCCCTGGCACTCTTCTTTACTCTTTTGTTCAGTGTATTGTAGCTGGCATTCAAATCCTGTTTTTGTTGCTCGTCGATGCACTGGATAATCTTTTGTTTCACCATCTTTCTCTCTTCTATTAGTCTCCAAGTGTCCGTAGTGAGCCACTATTTGTCCTTTCTCTTCTTTCTGCCTAGAATTTCCATGCAGGTTTGACTCCACACCACTTTCAGGTTGTCCCAGTGCTTTTCGACGCTGACCTCTTCGCTAGTGTTGATTTGTTTCTCGGCTTTTTCCCTTTGTATCCTGGCCCTTCAGTTTTTGAGTGTTGAACTTGGCTTGTGGTCTATCTGCAGCTCTTGCTTCTCTGAAAGCTTTTAGTTTGATTTAGATTGCCCCTTGTACGAGATAGTGGTCTGAGCCAACGTCAGCTCCTCTCTTGTTTTCCTGATTTTAAGGGGAGCAACCCACAAGGTCGCTCCTCTATAAACTATATTTTAATGTAACAACCCACTTCTCAGGTGTGAGGCTAGCAACCCCACCCTGCAAGCAAAGTTGCTACAGAAACTTCAGCACGATGAATCTCCTTGTGCCGCCTATATTATGAATCGTTTAATTTTTAGCATAGTTTGATAAACTTTAGTTGATGAAATTGAATTATCAGTTGAGCAGACGACATTCGTCGTCCTCACCGTAAGCGAGCTTTAAAAGTATAACAATTCTATAATGACAGCTACACATATGAACTCTAACTAACTAACATGCATACTAAGTTTTCAAGAATTAGTTTGTAGAGATTCTGTTTTTTTTCCATGTTAGACCACGGATTGATATCAGTCAGAGAACCATTGAAAACCAGGGAGTACTGGACAGCTGTTTCGTCGGCCTAGTTGGGGACTCATCGGCAGTACGCACCCACCAACAGGGCTCGAACCCAGGACCTTCCAGTAATAAGGCAGGCTAGTATACCATCCAGTCACTGGGACCCGATTCAATGGCCGGCCTACAAATTCTAACTTCTACCAAGTCTCGATTTTAGCGCGACCACCAACCAATGTCATTGGCGGGAACTCCATCCCCACTCCCGACTGGATGGACCTCACTATCACCTAGTCGGTTTTTTCTGTATACTCTCTGTATTCACTAATCAAAATAACTCCAATAAAAAAATAATAACACTAATTTGATTAATTATTTTATTTCCATTTTTAGAATCTGATAGTGCTATCCCTTGTCCAAATTGTCGAAAATCCTTCTCAGATGTGACAAGTTTACGAGCTCATATTGATGCTGTGCATCAAGGTAAGAAACTGAGTCCTCTTCTCTTTTTACGGTTATTCAATACGATTCTCGTATAATTTACATGCTAAGTAACTGATTTTTATCTTTAAGATAACGCACGCTTGAATTCCATCATAAATCGTTATTAGTTAATCAAATATACTGAATGGATTCAAAATATTGGTTTAATTTCATCTATATTTCAACTCGGACCCAGTCTAACTGTTAGTCGCAGGAAACTCAATCCGTAGTCTTACTGCTTGGCTACAGACAGGTACGAAGCTGATCTCAGATACCGATTTTTCACGTTTAGCCTTTATCTGGGACAGTACAATACAAGTCCAAGTAAAACTGCATCGTAGACTATTAACGTTTCCGCATCTGCAAATAACAGAGTAGAGGTTCCTTTTGAAAGAGTTGTATCTTTTCATTCTTTTTACATTCCGAGTGAAACATAGGGCTTCATACTTTTGAAATTTCAGTAGCGGTGATGTTGTTTTTACAGGGTTGAGTTGCCAGCCCCACGCCTAACCTAACAATCGCCCTCACAATCCGAAGTGCACGCGAAACCTCTCTAATCCTCACTCATCTTTGTATCCATCTTCATCTCTATTATCCTTGCAACTCCTCTGCTTGATGGCTCTTCACTTCCTCTTCACTCTGTGTGCACTGATAACGATGGAAGCCAAAAAGCCACCATCGATAGTCCTCTTTACCGGACTGATTAAAGGTAAAGTGAGGTTTAGAAGTACGTCGGCTGGAAATCGAAGCCTGGCGAGAGTTCCACCATTAAACCACCGATGCACATTTTTGCATTTACACTAATTGCTATCTACTGAACCATTATGGATTACCTACAATCTGGTAGTGACTAGCAGTGGAGTCCGTGATGTGCATTTTATCCCGTTTTGGGACTCGTCACTGGGTATGTCTTCATTCCTGGTGAATGTTGGTGTTTTCAACATGAATTGATAGATGAAGGGTTCGACTCTCAGTGGGGACATCACCACTCACTGGGATTGAAGATATATTCGGCTGAAGAGTCCCACATTGGGGGAAATGCGCATGCTGGATTCCATTGATAGTCATTTGATGTTAATCCTTAAGCCTCATGGCAGCGTCTCTATTGAGGGCTGGCATGTCAACAAAAACTGAGCGTAATCAACGGAAAATGTAAAACTAACCCAAATGTAATTTTCTATTATCTTTATCTGTTTTTTCCTCTCTCATTAGATAATCGAACAGGTCGATGTGATATATGCGGGAAGACTTTTACCACCCTTTCGTATCTTCGAATGCATATTACTACTGTTCACGAAGGTTAGTTTATCACTTGACATGCTCTAATTTATGCCTCTATATCTGCTAGAGAATGAGAACTCTAACTCTATACTGATAATTTATAAAGAAACAGTGAAATCGAACTTATTTAAAATTGAAATTTCAAAATAATAAACTTACATTATCATCCATATCAGTTTGTTTATTAGATGTATCACATAGTGAAACAGTATTACTATTGACTGGATGACGTTTCGAACAAAATTTATTACTGTTCATAATCATATCAATTATAATCACACGACTTCGAAACTTGAGTTTTATAGTTTTCTTTGTTCCCTCCTATTTGTCGTCGCTAGGGTAGTAGAATTTTCCGGATATCTGGGACAGGTGCTGAATCATTCCTATTACACGTATTTGCAGTTGATTCGATAAACAAAGCTTCTGTTATCAATCTCTCCCTCTACCCTGTTAGCTGTATTAGATTTTAAAACTGTCATCTTATCCCATCATCCTATTGTATGGTTGTGTGTAACTGCATGTAGTGCTATAGCTGAACTATTCTTTAGATTTCTTATCTTATTTGGGTTAACCAGATTTTGTTAGGTTTTTATGTTCAGCTAGTCTGACTGCCCCTGTTCTACTAGTTTGACCTATGTATTTGACCTGACAATCATTGCAGGTAGGGTATTAGATTTTGTTTTAAAGGCTCCACAGGATCTTTTAACCGACAAAGCTTGTTTCTAATTGAGTTTGTGGGTTTGAATGCCACTTTCATTACTGCCTGCCTTGTTAAGAATTCTGTGTGAGGTTTCCGAGGTTCCTTCCTTGTATGGAATTACTACTGATGATTTAGATTCCTTTTTGTTGGTGTTGTCTTGCGCATGTTGTCATTGATATTATTATTGTCATTATCACTATCACTACTATCATTATTTATTTTATTTTTACATTTCCCTACATATTTCCTGACTAATTTATCAGGGTATTTATTAAGTTTCAAGGCTTCTTTTATGTGTATCGCTTCCTGTCTTAGATTTTCCTTGGTGCTACTTAGTTTTTGTGCTCTGTCACTTAAACAAGCTTACACATTTATTAATATTACATTATCATCATTTCCTCTAACTGTCAATAGTTTTTGCCACCGGGTTTCTTTTTAATTTCTAATTCTACAGGGTCCATTGATTCTTCATAGAGTTTAGAGAGTAGCATTTTCGGTCCCATTAGAGCTTATCCTAAAGGTTTCATTCGATTTTTCAATTTTCTTATTTTGTACTGAATTTTATAAAGCCTACTTCTGGTATTTTAATCAGTGCATGCATATTGCTCTCGTGTATATTTACCCAGTAGGTGTAAGAGACTTGCATCAGCCATTTTATTATGTCACTTGTTAACTAAAAATTTCAACATTAATTAGTATCAGTAGTTTGAAGGTCATTATTAAATGATAACTTGTTTGTAAGGTGTTCATGCTTTTAATGCAAGTGTAGAACTTGGGCATTGTGGTAGAATGTGATTCCATATTAGATAAGTTTATTTGAATAACTACACAGTGATGCAGTATTAACAATTGGATGACAGGGTTTCGAGCATAAATTGTTGCCACTCATAATCATATATCAGTCTAGTCATACGTTTTCACAATTTGTCTTATGTATATTTTCTGTCTTTCCAACTTCCCTTTGTTGTTTGTTGTCACTTTCCATATCTCCAGTATAGGCGTTGCGTCATTCCGATTGCAAATGTGTGGTGTTGAATCGATAAACAAAGCTTCTGTGATTAACTTCTCTCTCCACCTAACTATATTACTTTTTAATACTCTCACCCTGTGTCCCACCCTATCGCTGTATGATCACATGCAAGTGAATGCAGTGCAATGACTGAGCTTTTTTCTAGGTTATTTAACTTAACAAGGTCAATTATTCTAGGTCCAGCTAAATTTTTATGTTCCAATAATCTAGTTAACCCTGACCTACTAGTTTGACCTATGTAATTGACCTCATAGTCATTACATGGTATTTGGTAAATTATATTATTTCTCTTAATTGGATCTATTGTGTCCTTAAACCGACAAGGTTTAACTCTAGAGATCATGTTTTTATCATTAATAACTTTTTTCTTCCCCCAAAGTTTCGAGCTTTCCAGTACTTAAAGCAATTCCCTTCACGAATTACGTAGTTTATCTGAAACGTGTAATGTATTTGCACAAAACATTTCAGACATTTTGATCACACACGTACTTGTCATACATAGTTTTCATAGAAGGCATGGATAATTACAATACAGGTCAGATTGTGTACAGGTCAAGGTCACAAATAATGGGTAGGTGTGGGTAAGAAAGAAGGGGTTGAAAATATTATGATGTAAATTGGTCCTTGGTTCTAAATTGGATTACCAAGGCAGGTTTAAAGTAATAACAAATAACTTTTAGACGCATAAGACAGGTTTAAGTCTTTTTATGGCTAAGGCTTCAACGAATTTAAGTATGTGGCCCAACCTTGTTTTATATATTAACTTAAAGGCATTGTTGCAATCAAACTTATGACCCGTCTTTCCAGTACTCCCTGGTTCTGTAGATATATAACTCCACAGGATTACAGTCAATGGGTTCCTTTTCTAAACCCCTGTTCACCTAATTCATCCTGGACAAACTGGTTAGTCCCACCGGCCCTCATACAATAAGTGTAGAACATAGAAAACCTTTTTTGGGAAGTGAGTTCAGACAAACAAAGTCTGAAGAGATTTTATCGTTTTAAAGGCCTCTGGTCTCCCCACCATTCGTCTTTCATTCACTTCCTATTATTGTATTCATCTCTTTGGGTTATCTTATGTTTTTTATTTTCCAGTGTGGCAGAGATTCTATAATAAATTATAGTATTTTATTATTATTATTATTATTATACCCTTAGGTTTAGATTGGAACATAAGACTTCGTCAGCACTGTGTTCTCTGCAGTCTTCTTTAGTTAGCTCCACGATGGTCTATAAGCTCTCATCTCCTCCTCACATGATCTCTCCCATTTCACCCACACCAAAGTCATGGTTTCCCCTTAGGATTCCATTCGAAGACCTAGTACGCGATGTCGCTCAACGGTGTCCTCTGAGTGGGTCCGATCCACCTCCATTTTCTTCGCATATTTGCTGGACAGTAGGTTCTTGATTGGACAGCTGTCTGCCAGAATTCCGTGTGGCTTGTCCTTTCCGGCCGTCTGTTGTTCAGTATGGAGCCAGCGAAAGCAGCTGTTCATAAAAGTCTTCAGTGGCCTGTTCGGAATACTTTTGGTAACACGTCATCTCTGGACCATTCAGAAGGAGTGACTTAACATTGGTGTTGAGAATTCGAGTCTTGTACTTTACGCTTAATGCAGTAGAATTCCTTGAGGATCTGTCCTGCCCTTTCTATCCCGGCTTTGAGATTTTCATCCATGCCACTTGTAGTTGGAACAATGCTGCCTAGATAAGTGTAAGAAGGAACTTTCTTGAAATTTCTCCCATCGATGGTGATTGGTGTTGCTCTGTTGTTGGTTAGGCATCTTCACCTCTGTCCACCCTATGTTCACTTGAAGTTCTGTCTCGACTACTTCTTCAGCCAACTTGTTGGTTCCGCTGTTAATCTTTCAGTTTGTATGATATTAAACATATATTGCCCGCAAAGTAGCAATCTTCTATGATCTTGTCGACCCAATGTATTCCTGTCTTGTCGCCCCCCCTCCACACACAGTCTTTCGCATGATCCAGTCCATCACAATCACAGGAATATCATCGGGGATAGTATGTGGCCTTGTCTTACTCCTGTTTTCACTTCAAAGGTTTCACTGAGCATCATGATATAACTGTTGAATGACGTTAGCAAAGGTTTGAGACACTACACTCCGTAGTGTTGAAGCAATTTCCAAATCACTTCACAACCAACGCTGTCGAAGGCCTTTTCAAAATCAATAAACTTGACGTAGAGAGTCGATTTCCTTTCTAGGCTCTGTTTGATGATGATACATTGTGTTTTGATTTGGTCTATACACGACTTGCTTTTCCTGAATCCAGCTTTCTCCGGGTGGACTTTTGCCTTAAGAGCATCTTTTAGTCTTTCCAAGATGATCAGGCCCAATATTCTTCCTTGCATGTATGGCAGCATGATTCCGCACCAGTTTTTACATAGGCCCAAGTCAACCTTCTTTAATAGTTTCACAAGTCAACCTCTACCTCTCCCTCCTTCTACACTTTACTCCATAGTATCGTGAAGATATTCGCTGAGGTGTTTGAACCCACTTTTAGTGCTTCCAGAGGAATTCCATGTGGTTTCGTGGCCTTCACGGGCTCTATCAGATTTATGACATTCAAGACTTATGCTTTTGTGGGAGAATTAATGTTCTCTGACAGTCCTGTGGCCGTTGGTGGTATTTCTGGAGTAGCTGCAGGTATTAGTCGGTTCAGGAGTGCTTCTAAGTGATCAGTCTATTGTTTTCTTTGTTTCTTGTCTTTGGTAATTAGGTTATGTTAACTATCTTTTATTGTTTTCATCTGTGTTGATCTTTTTCCGGATAGATACCCGGTTATCTGATATTTGCGGTGGCACAGTGGTTAGGACTCTCGCCGACCATTCACATGGTTCGGGGTTCGATCCCTTGCCAACGCACACCTGATATCTATGGGCGGCCTGCAAAATTTGGGTTACCGATATCACATGCTGAAAATGCCATACCTGTACCAAAAAGTACGGTGTGGAATCAAGCTGTAATTATAAAAATATATTGATATTCTGAAGTCTCTTCTACCTGCGGTCTGTTCTGCTTCAGTTGCCAGTGTCCCGTAGAACTATCTTTCCTAACACTCTTCTTCACTGTATTAAGTTCGTCATGTATTGAACTCAACTTCTCCTTTCGTTTTCCATCTTTGCACTGGTTCATCTTCTGTTTCTTCATCCCTATATTAACCATTCATTGTCTTATCGCTTCTTTCTTCCTAAAACGGCCATGCAGGTTTCCTTTAATATCACTGTCAGAGAGCTCCAGCTCCAGGTTTCCACGATGATGTTACATAATATCTCCGACTTTGCTGTAATGGCTGAAGTGAATGTGTCCTTTATAATTTCGTCCTTTAGTTTCCGGGTGTTGGACTTGAATTGTGGTCTATCTCCAGCTACGTTAAAGTCTTTTAACTTGATCGTGAATGTCCATTGCATTAGATAATGGTAGTAACCCATATCTGCTCATATTCTTGATTTTGTGTCCAGTAGGCTACCTTCTTGCGATTAAGGTAGTCTATCTGATTTTTGATATGTCCATCTGGTGAAACCCGTGTCGTTTCTTTTTGTGTCCTTGTGCTTTTACACACTATATCCAGTAGCTAAATCATTGGAAGCACCGAAGTGTGAGAAAAGTTCACAGCTCTGATTCATTTCAAGAGCTACTCGATCCATGATGAGTTCTATTCCTATGTTGATGTAAGTATAAAACTTGGGCACTGTGGTAGAGTATAACTCCATTATGGATAAGATTTTATTCTGATAAATCACACAGTGTTATACAGTAATATTAACTGATGACATTTCGAGCAAAAATTATTCCTCATAATCATATCAAGTCACTCACAACTTTTTTCCTTCATTTATCCTGTGTTGTTTGTTCCCCTTTTGTCATTTATATCACTCATGTTTTTGACGTTGCCATCTGTAGTCTTCTCCATTACTGTTTGCCGTTGTTTAAAGATATTTGGTAACATATTGGCTAAGCTGTCTAGTAGTACGTCCAACACATATAGATGTAGCAAAACTATCTAGCTTACCCTTCGTTCGTCAACTTAAGAATGACAAACATAGACTCGCTGCGTAAAATGTCCTCCGTATACTTCTAGTTAGTCTCTAGAACAAAATCTCATTAGACAAATCCTCATTAAATTACAAATTAATAAATAGGGGCTTCTTCCGTGTCGTCATCGTCTCAAGATTTCCATCCGATTTTTTCATACGTTTCTTTATGAAACTACTCGGATAACCCATTTCCGTCAAGGAACCATGAATCTGTTCAAATTCCTTTTGTAAGTGATCATCCTTATACATCTTTTTTGCTGTGCCCGTAAGACACTTAACAATATTTCGTTTATATTTAATGGACACCTAACTAAGAAAGTGCGTGTATTGCCCTGTGAATGTGCTTTCTCTATAAACGCTTCTCCCAAGTGATCCATTTTCTCACCCACTTGGCAAGGCATCCAAAAAATTCAGTTAATTATGCTGCTCCTCTTCACAAGTGAAAGTAGGCGAAAGAAGGATGGTTGTTATTAGACCTCTTCAACAATTCATCTATGCTTACAATTCCCCTTAGCTAAGATAAATATATATCATCAACATGACAGTTATAACACTGATGACATCTTTCAATCTCCCGTTTTCATTACACCTAAAACATCTTTTGATTTTAGTCTAAATAATAAGTTTCTTTATAAAGAATAAATTATAAAACACAATAGAAGAATATAGAAAAAAAATTCAGGTGATCAAGGTTAACTTACACTGTTTACATATGTATAAATAAAGTCAAAGGTCAAGATGAAATCTCGATTACCGTGATTGCGTATATAAATATGCGCAGATGCATGATATGGATTAATTGTAATAGATTTTAATAGATTCTATCTACTTCTAAGTGAAAAACAGTCATAGAATTAATAATGAAGCGTATCTTTTCATATGAATAAAAAGATTTTAAACATCTGGACATTGATGAATGCTCAATATGTCAATAAACCTTAAATGTTACAAGTATTTATTTTGCATAAAAATATAATTTATGCGATTTCATCAATTCAATTTGGACTTTCCCGTTGATCGATTGAACCGAAGTACTCGGCCTTAGGTTGACATGTCGGCTTCTTGTGCGCAGATGCTTCGGCAATGTCTGATTATTTTAACTTGAAGTAAATTGGTGGGATAGTGACTAACAGTAGAATCCAGGATGCGCATTTCGTCCAAACGCGGGACTGATCATCTGAATGCACCGACATTTTCCATTGAGTGATGGTATTCCCAGTGAGGCTCGAATCCAGTACCCATAGTTTCAAGCGCCAAAGTGTTATTTACTAGACCACTTGGGCCGTGGGAGCCATCTCTTGTGCAATGGGTATCCCCACATCTACGCCAGACATGGCGAAAGTTAACAAGTGCCACATGACCTTTTGTTTCAGTGTTTAGATTTCACCAGCAATCAGTCGGCTGGGACTGACACAACTTTCTAACAAATAAGTGAAGTGGTCAACAACACGCTCTACCACTTCACTCCTACCTATCTTCAAGCAGTATAGTCGGTGTAGTTCAGCCCAGTAGGTAGCATTGTCTTACATTTGACAGGAGTCAGTCGTAATTGGAAACGTTTACGTTGTGTTGACTACTTCATATTCATACCTTAACTAATCTTAAACTTTGTAAATCCCTTGTTTTCTCTTCTATATTTTAACACAGAATTACTTTGATGGTTTGTAATCTGCTGAGCCAATGAAAAACATCCACTTCATACCATATACATAATATATATGAGCTACACCATTCTGGTGTGTATCCCTTCTCCCCTATAAATATATTTCTCAATAAAATTATCCCCTGTATTGTTGAATAGTTAATTGTCTAGTATTTCAGGGGAAAAACTATATCCTATCATGCATTCAATTTACATGTATATATATACAGTATGTGAGTCTTGATTAGTTCAAGCTTTTTTAATTGTTGATTAACTGACTACTTTTTTATGTTGTTGTTCTTTTTGTGTTGAAGTTATTCTATGTAGACTAATAATAATAATAATACTGGTGCTAGTTATCTGCTAATATTTATTGTTATTTATCATTCCTATTTAGGTGTACGTGCATATACTTGTGATCTTTGTCAGAAAAGTTATACACAAAAGCATTCTTTGAAGAAGCATCTTATGAACGCTCATGCAAGTTAGTGTTTTTTTTATTTTTATGTATATTTATTGTCTTTTGTTTGTTTGTTTTTTCTAAAAAAATTAAATAATAAAAGTGACGATTGGTTTTTCAATAAAGTGTACGAAATAATATTTGCATCATATTAGTGTTAAGCCTACTTATCCTTATTTAATTCCTTTGTGTTCTTCTTAGTGGAACATTGGTCTTCAAGCCTTCAGCTCAGGAGTTTCAGTAGTTGTAGTGTTGTGTTTTACCGGGTAAGATTGTTACATTCACGTCCAACCTTCTCTTTTTGCATCGGGGTTACTATCGGCTAAGTGAGGCTTCAAAGTACTTTGATCGGGAATCGAATTTTGGACCACTTGCGCATGGTTTGCGAGCATTCTACCACTGAAATACCGATTCAGTAATAAATAGCAAATCATAATAAACTTGTAGCCGACTTGTTCGCGACACTAGTTCAACAAGTGTAGACGGGAAAGAAGGTGCTGGCCAGTTGGAAGAATGGTTACTGCCGATTGCCTCCAACTATCTAATATCATCAAATCAATGTGCACCGTGATGGCGAGCTACCTAGAATGGTGGCCACATTGCAAACCTGACTGATAGAATTCAGTCTGCACCAAAGAAAGGACTAGACACGTCACACTAGTTACTAACTAGTGTCCAATCAAAGTACCCACTACAGTCCTACAGGAGGTCAATCGCGAGATCGAATAGCTTAGTGGTAACGTCTCTGACTGCAGTTCTCACTGGGTGACGTGGGTTCGAATCTCAGAGGGGTGGGACATGAGTTCCTTCAAGGTTGCAGATACGCCTTGCTGATTGACTGGTGAGTGCCAACTAGACGAAACCTAGGTCGAGCAAGGCTTCCTTCCGATTGCCTCCAACTATCTAATATCATCAAAGGTTACTTTGTCAAACTGTCGAAGTGGGAAGTGCAATCATGCGTCTATCCCCACCCCAAACAATACACTAAGTCGTATTGTCCTGAAAAATTCATTGAATAGAAAACTCCACCAGAAAAAGGTTGGATTCAGTAAAAAAAGCACATCTTGTGTGGATAAAATTTCAACACTAGGCATCACCTTACAGCAGTCAAATCTTTACCTCAACTTTCAGCGACTGTGTTTACTATGAAGTAATTTGGAAACTCCTTCGACACTACGGAATGCAGTATTACAAACATTTGTAAGTTGTTTCCCTCGCTTAACTAACCTGGGCAGTATCATCTGAATTACAGGCAGCAGGGATGAACATGTCAAAGCCAGGAGAGAGCGAGGCAGATGTTCATTATTCTGAAATCAGTTGGAGATCTACGGCACTCACTACAAGAAACTGGGTCTGTATTTCCAACACAAATGTCAATTCAGTGCTTTTAGCATTTCACCAAAAGCATTTCCAACTGCTGCTTTCACTTGTTATTAGAGATCAGATGGTCGGCAGGTAAGGATGGATACTCTGGTAGACAACTAATCACTTAAGAAATACGCAGAAGAAAATGGAGGTGGTTTGGACATAGGCTGTGGAAACTGCCAGGTGACATTACATGCCAGGCCATCGAATGAAACCCGAGTAGGAAGTTACCAGTTGATTATCTGAGACTGGCGTAAAGGGAATCACATGAAGAGAAAATGAAAGATTGTGGGTTGTCGTGAAGCGAGTTGAAAGTGGTGACAGGGAACCGACTGCAATGGACTTGCGTCGCTGAAGACTTATACCACACTTGGAACGAAAGGAAAGAACAGTGATGGCGCTAAAACTATTGTGTTAAGCGGGAAACTGAATCTAAGCGAACGAAATATTGTCTGAATGTTTATAACTGCGCTGTTTATAACCCCGCTTTGAGGGGTTGCCGAGATCCTTCACAATGCAAACTTGATCAAATGGCAACTTTATGGTAAAGTTGGCACATTCACCAGTGACACTGGCTTTCACAAGAAAACATTCACTGGGAATATATTGTCGTACTGATTCTTTCTTCTTGAGTCGAATGATATTTTGAACAAAAACTTTATGTGGGGTTTAGTTGTTTTTTTTAATAATCTTAACTTTATTAACAGCATCAGCAGTATTTTTTGTAGGTCTTAGCCATTTAACCATTACTGCAGTGAAACTCTGCCGATTAACTGAAAATTTTGTTATCTGTAACTATTATACATCGTTGGCATACATGAGGGGGGTCCTTTTTGTTGCATATATAATGATGTTCGGAGCTGTGGCTCATCGGTCTAAGCGGACAACTTCCAACCAGTAAGGCGTAGATTCGAATCCCACCCCAGTTATCAAGGTTTGTACAGGTATGTAGTAGTACTGTAACAACAGAAGGCAAGACACAGAAGCCAAGGTATATTTTTCATTGATCAAACCGCTGTTTATATATGTACAGTTTATATTTTTTTAACCAATCAGTGAGCGTCTGATTTTGGTTTACATCAAACGACATGAAATAGAATGTTCAAATATACATAGTATTCTTCAATGAACGAAATATTCCCATACTGAGTTATAAGAAAAAGGCGTAAACAGTGAAGAAAATTTTCTTTTCGACGATTCATTTTCATGAGCTGTACAATCGTAATTATATTTAAATATTTAGACCAATCAGATACTGTTAAACTACATCTCACACTTATTACGTCATGCCAACTTCTGCCTCTTTTCTAACTTACAATTATTCATCCCTTCTTATACCTTACATTATGTAATACAGTTTTCGAGGACAATGACTAATCAATAAGCTCCTGTAGAATGGACAGGAACTAGTGGAAAGGTGATAAAGTGTTTTTACATAAAAATCCGTATGAAAAAGCAATGTTATTAATAAACAGTGATAGAGTTGTGATAAAATATGGATGATGGGAATAATAATGATAATAAAATAATAGTAGTAATAACAACAACCATAATAATAATAATAGTGAACGTACATAATAAAAAAAAAAGAAGCAAAATTATAGTAAGAACTTTACTCTGGCCACGGTAAGGCGAGAGAATGTATGTATCGCTTTTGAATGCGGAGGTCCGGTTTCAGATCTCGAATAGCTTCAGCTATGTATGCGAAGTCCCTCTGTACGATATTAAGGAACTCTGTGTAGCACTGTGAAGCATTCATGCAGGGTGCTTGATGTCTAGAGATGACAAGGTGTTCGTGGATAGAGCTGCTGCTATTCTTCTTTTCTCCTCTGGCTAACGAAGCAGGACAGTGTTCCAGAATACGTTTGTGGACTTGAAGTTGCGTACGGCCGATATACTTTGCGCCACACGAGCAAGTAAATTGATAAATACACGTTGAAATGGCCAAAAGCGGTATCTTATCCTTAACGTTAGACTGGATTAACTGTCGGCTGGAGAATGTGATAGGCAAGGTGGCTGTTGGAAATGTCTTCTTCAGACATTTAGACATAGTATTCTGTTGCCATTGCAGTTTTGAACTGTGGGTATATGTGAGAATAATATTCCGTCGGCACACATTGGTCTGTATCACACCACCACAGTATCACTAGCCGTCATACAATAGGTATAACTCACTGCCAAGTAAGTGTAAATGCAAGTGGTTGTTGAATTCTGCTACTTTATACAAGGATCATATTGGTGTTTATTTTGAATACACGTTCATGACTTGCGTTCATTATTGCCAATTTAATTTTCACATGTTTATATGATTTTCTTAAAGCATGCAGTTTTCTCCCACTGTAAAAGATTGCTTTAGCTACAAATAGATGTACGAGAAAGTTCAAAAGAGTACGCTTTAAAAAATGTCTCTGTTGTTTTCGTGTTTTCCTGTTTGACTTTCTCTGATGTCTTCAATCACTTGACAGCTGTTTCTATGTATCAGTTGGCTTTATCACACTGGAAACAACCTTAAGTGTTAACCAATACTCATGCACACGCACATACACACACTTGGAAATCTTTTATCTCGGTAATTTCTAGTTCTTAAGTACCTTTTGTGTTCTAGGTCAAATCATATAATATGCGCTTTGTTTGTTACGTCATAGCAGTGCAGTTATTGATAAAGAAATACTCTCAATAGACAAAACCAGATTTTCTTTTTTTTGTATTCCTAGTTGTTATGACCAAGGAAGGTATAATAGAGGATTCAGGATCAAATAATAACCATAACAATAATGGTGCAATCTATAAATCTACCCAGTCTGGATATCCTGATGACACACGAGCTCCTAAATCACGTAAAAAGTTACTCGTAGATTCTTCTTTCACACCTGAGTCTTCTAGTCCTAGCCCATCTGGAATAAATAATGTAAGTTCCCATATTAACAGCATAGTTTAAAAAATATGTTTATGATTATTTTTTGAACTAATGTTTTCTCTTTCATCCCTTGCATTTTAAGTGGAATGTAAGACTTCAAGCTTCTGAAGTGTCAGTAGCGGTGAGGTGTTGCTAGCCTCACGACCAATCTTTCCTCTTTTCCGCGTTTACTATCGCCTAGTAAGCCAGACGAAGTTTAGGAGTTCGTTGGCGGTGAATTGAACCCAGACCCCATGCGTGGCTGGAGTTGAACATTCTACCACTTATTACTTTTGAATAACACGTTATCTACAAAGATACCTCGATTCATCGTTGGTTGGAACCTAGAGTAGACTGGTTTTGACTTTATGGTGGTGCTCCCACTTGATTTTAGTGAAGGTGCTAATTTACACAGCATAAGATATAACTGATTCATAGATTGGATTTATACGTCATACATATTATTAAGGAAGTTATAGTTTATTTGATTTTTTTATGACTTTTTAAAATTTAATTTTTGTATTACGTAATTGTTGTGAAAAAATGAATAAGCAAACTGAATGAAGTGACATAATTGTGGGAGCTAGAATTAAAAGCGACCAAGTTAAGATCAGTGTCATTGAAGAATAGAAATGTAATAGTGGGAGGGGAAAAAGTGATAAAATTGACAAAAACACTAAATTAAGATTAATAAAAACTACGTATCAAATGTTGAAACGTATTAGGTTCATTCATTGTAGGTCAAATCCTGAACACTACATTCAGAAGAAGTTTGTTCAGCCATTGAACCTACAATGAACTTGCTAATCCGAATTTTATGTATTTTTCTCCTTTCTCACTTACTACATTTCTGCTTCTCATGACACTGAATAATGTATATGATATATATATATATATATATATATATATATATCCGGACCTTGGTGTGTGTGTGCTGCTGAAGAGTCCCAAACTAGATTGAAACAGCCTTTCAGTACTTCCAGGTTTTCCAATGGTACTGTAAGTTATATCAGCTCGTGATCAAACCAGTATTATCCATTATGTTTATTTACGGTGGTCCACCCAACTTTTGGCTAATGAGTCCATGGTTCAAATTCCGCTTCACCCAAGTGAGCCTGGTCAACTGAGTAGTATAAGACCCTCTTCTACAATTATGTGTGACTCATAGTCTAATAATGTATTACCATGTGCTAAATGAATTTTACTCTACCATAAGGTGGTTCAATTTGTATTCTTATATAAGTGAAATTAATTAGACTTTCAAATCTTATATTTTTTTCGCGTATACTATTCTAAAGATACAGCTTTTTTCAACTGTTATTATCTACTTTGCGTACTCATTTTTGAATGACTTTTTCTAAGATTATCCTACCTATAACTGTCTAGGTGGAAAGTCCTGCTTCCTCTGAACCAAAAGCTCATTGCAACTTATAAACTACTCATATGTAAGTTGACAGCATTTCTCCTATCATAGTCTACTTTATAACAGAATTCTTGTATATAATAATAATAATAATAATAATAATAATTTACTTTATTCCAAAAACAGTACTTATAATACAGAATGGAATTCTCAGTATTTGTCACAATACTGCATCTGATTTACTCAAAATGTATGTGAAATTAAAAATTAAAACAAAAATTAATCGGAGGGATTTGTCCACATTTACGACATAATTATTAGATATAATAATAATAATAAATACTAATAAGAGTGAGTTTGTTTCAAACGGTATTGTCGATTCAGTTTGGAAACTTTAGCATGTTATGGATAATTGGGTCTAATGTTCTGTTGGTATGGTATAGTGAGGTGAAACGTTGAAAACATGAGTTCTGCTTTTACCAGATGTAGAGATTGGATATGTAGCAGGCTATCTTGATGACGAACTTAATAATATCAAACGACTGCTGAGTGGAAACGGTTATCCAGAAAAGTTTATTGATAAGAATATGAATCTAAAATCAAAGCAGCCCAAGGTACCAACAGTTCCTAAAAAGACCTTATTCTTACACATTCAGTTCCTCGGGGACAACATCAACGAGATATTAACACAACGCCTAAGCAATGTGGTTAAAGGGCATTCAATGCTGCTGAATTATGCTGTGTCTTCAAAATTACCCAAAACTCAAGTTTCGAAGTCGTGTGATTATAATTGATGAAATGATTATGAACAATAAATTTTATTCGTAACGTCATCCAATAAATAATACTGTTGCACTCTGTGATACATCTAATAAACAAACTAATATAAAATTACCCATATTTTGCGTTCGGGAGTTAAAAATAAACTGCCTAATTTCGCCTTTTCTACGTGTATCTGCCAATTTGACTACTCCTGTGGGACCAGTTACTTAGGCCGTACAATTAAGCGTGTTTCTCGTCGAATTTCCGAACATCACTCTGCGTGGTTAGATGAAGGACAAACAAAATCTATTCGTAGCGCTATTCTATCTCATCTCGTGGATACAGAACACAAGATTGATGTTAACCAGGCTTTAGAGTCATTTACTGCATACCAACAAATCTTAATTTCGCCTTAAGAGTTCGATTACTAAATAATGCTGAGGCTGTTGGGATCCATATTAAGAAGCCTGATTTATGCGTCCGAATGAAGCTAGTTCACACATTATCCTTATCTTGGCCATCTAGGTTTGAATGATACTCAATTTTTGTGGAAATTTCCCTAATTTTAGTTGATATTCTATTTGCTATTATATTATTATTATTTAAGCATCTTTAATGAACTGTAATTCCATTGATCTTACTTTACAAATCGATATTATTTAAAAAACACTAGTATTGTTATTGACGACTATTCTGGAATATTCTGTGCATATAAAAATTGATATGATTTTAGAGCCAGAAGAGGAATTTATCCGAAAGGATATTTTTTGTGTTTTATAAATGACTTTGTCACATAGTTGAATTTTTAGCAATACCATATTTTCCAGTTTATTAAGTGTTTGGCGAGTCTGGATGCATCTCAAATCTGAATTCTTTAGTTTTATAATCTCCTGGTCCTTAATTCATCATGTCTATGAACTCATCGCTGCTGGGATGATTCACTACAGCGTTGTGTTTAGCGCCTGATCAACTTTTCATTTCACTTATTCAGTCTTTGCCTCTGTAAAGTCATACTCAAACCCGATCGATAGCTGCTACTTTGACATGGTGATTGGTTTCGCATATTGCAACGACCCAACAAGCTACAGTGGTTGCAGATCCAAACATACCAAAACACATTGTTTGTTTAGCGAGTAGATTAAAAGTTGTTACCGTCATAGTAAAAAATTTTTACACTATGTTGGGGGTCCTTGGGGGAACTGTTACTACTGGGGAGTAGGGGTGTAACAGCAGTAAGGTAGGTGTTTCCCTCCTCTGACCAGTATGCCCGCCATGTTGCTTCTCTTCTCTGGAGAGTAGGAGGTGGGTTAGAAAAGGTCGACTAGGAAAACTGTGTATCCGGACTTACGTTGTGGTCGTCCGTAGCCGGTGGTAAGATGTAAGTACGGATATGTAATTCAAAAAAAAGGTCGTGTGTGATCAGCCTGTTTAGAGTACGAAGTATTGATATATTGTTATTATTGATATTGTTTTACATATAATATTGATATAGAATCGTCGTTATATCAAAGTGGAAAACTCAACTACCAGTTAGTTAGCGTATTCATTCTTTCTAGTTTTGCCAACTGGTTATTTTCACTGACCAGTGAACAACAAGTACAGCATATGAATCAGCACGCAGGAAAGTTCGTCGGCTTTAGATTTTACAAACAAAATTTGTCTATTAGTGTCTTAAAAACTCCACTGATTTACGCTGAACACACTAAAATGCATAGAAGGAGTACGTCGCTTTGTAAAGTGATGGTTTCGCCTTTTTTTAGTTCATAATAATGATACTTACTATATGAGAGGGACTGTTTACAGACATGTTCCCGTCCTACGATCTCCTAACCCTTTTATGTTTTATTTTTGAATGATACATTTAGTTTTAGAATTTATTTAGACTTTCATCGGTTTTTAATGTGTATTTTATTCAGAGATTATTACTGTTTATCATGTTTTTATTTTTCACTTAATGTTGGGTTTGTTTTCTCCTGTAGGCTCATTAATTGCCACTGAATTCCTTCGCCACCGCCGCAGATATTGGAGTCTTCTGTGCAGTATAAGAGTATTCACACAGACACCCACACAGACAATTATGAATATGTCTACCTCTCACCAAAGATATGTGAATGACAAACACTACCTCAGATAATCTAACTTTTATTACTATTACTATTACTATTATGGCATTTACGCAGGTTAACACATTATCTATGCTTAAAATGACAATTCTTTTTTTTGTATTCCGAGTTCACCGGTTACAGAGTTTTTTTTTAGAAAACTTTTTTTTTACTTGATGTTCAGACAGGTACAACAGTAACAACAACAACACTAGCAGGATCTTCTTTATATTATGTATAAAATTTTGCATTTTTGATCTACCTCTAAAGTATCTAACTGGATCTTGTTCTACTCAAGAGTTTATGATCCTTTGTATTTGCGATATCGTTTTGGTGTTGAATATTGTTAGCTAAAAATTAACTGGTTCTTGTTTTTGTTCATTATCTCTTGGTTAACGCGACGATTGTCACAATGTTTTTGTTAGTAAACTCGATAAAAGTACAATAGAGAGTTATTGAAATTGTTTTGTGACACTTATTCGTCTCGCTGCCTGTTTGGAAGCATATAAAGGTATTGTAAGTTATATAAGTTATTCATAATCACGTCTACTTGTTTATTCTATGTAGTTCATACCCTGTAAATTCGTCTACGACATATATTTAAGGGTAATATGAGTAGTTTGAAATCATTCATATTGATAAGCAAGAGTACTCAAATTAAAGCTGATCATAAATAGCATCTTTCTCTCAAACATCACCTACATATACTCTCGGTGCTACTAACAATGAAGGCAGTTTCGGAATATCCAATTGTGAGTAGTTGTGTGTCAATAAAAGTAGCACACCGAGCCAGTATGAACGTAAATACAATCTGGTCACTGACGTTAACGAGATTTTCGTACCTACTGTTCTAATCACCATCCGAAACGACAAACATCACTGACACGCGAAGGAAGTAGAGAGAGAGAGAACGTTGACAAGAGAGATATTACTGCCTCAGATTGACAGTGAAACGGTTTGGCGGCAATTCCATGTATATAGGATTTAAGTGACCTTGACAGACACTTATTTCATTGCTAGTTCAAAACGATTGATAATCAATAGGTTTCAGCCATCATTAGAGGGGGAAATGAAATCGTCGCGGTACCGTAAATATAGGTGGTAGTTTAAAGCTTTGGGGAAATCAGGTGCGTATAACACAAGCAACTAAGCACAAACCAATGACAGCGGAAGAACTATGTCATGTTAAGATCGTCTATATAATTTGCATGCGGATGTCCATATTTTGGATTCCACGGAGTGTTAATCTTTTCTTACACAGCTGACTGCTGAATCACTTCTTGCCTAACGCGTATAAAATGGTTATTATTAGAGAAAAATCAAAGTTTGCAGAAATTGGAATTTAGAAACACTAACATGGATAGTACCAACCCACCAGATCAACTGCACTTAGTCTGGGCAAACAGGAACTACATAACGAAGGGCTACTTAGGGAATCACTTAATTTTCACAGGAAAAAGGACCGAGTGAGCTGTTGCAAGCTGACACGAAGCGAAAATATTCCGTGATTTTCGGGTCTTGATTTACTATGACACCGTGCTGATTGAGTCCAGGCGAAAGGAAAATGGTCGTATGCGCTAAAAATTATGTGACCAGTTAGCATGACTGCTCACTGAGTTACGTTTGTAAGTCACCTTGAATGTTCGAACTTTTATTTTAACGCATTCATGTACTATGGCGCCACGCCATCTTTGTTTTTCCGGCATGAGTGATCGCACGTGGCTCGCTCTCTTCTTGTGCTATCATTAAGCGCAATCTGCGAGCTTACTACCCGAGCCAGTTAACACATAAATTGTACACTATTGCTACACGTTAATTTTGGTTTTTGCTTGTTATATAAATATAATTCATATCAAGGAACACAACATTTCATAAGCCTTCTTTCTACCTTGACTTCATTTATCAGTACATACACGGTAGGTAGTGTACTGACCAGGGTTAACCGAGGAAAGCAAGTTTACTAGGTGCTCACGTTAAGACCTATCTAGAGGTAACCTACATACTGATGGGGAGCATGTGCTATTTGAGTCACCTAAGCAGATTATCGAGGTCTGAGAGTGTTTTGTCGTCCAAATTTTAGGTCATCAGTGAGCCTAGGCAATCAGCTGACACGCATAAGAAACAAAGGAAAGCCAAGTACGAGGTCTTCAGGCATGACGCCTTCCACTGTTGTCTTAAACAAGACTTTGGAGTTAGCTCTAACCTTT